ACCTCACTCCAATGAATATTCACAGGAGTCTGAGGTTCTCTGTTTTGCAATGGTTTGGACTCGGAGCTCCCACCACAGGAGCTTCCCCCCCGACTCCGTGTTGGCAAATCAAGATCCCACAAGCCACGTGGGGTGCCCCCCCAAGAAAAAAAGAGAGAAGAATAACAAAGTAAAAAATAAAATTAGACTAGGAAACTAACAGATATGTTAGAAAGAATGTAAAAGTAAAAATACAGATGAATCAACAACCACAAGGTATGTCAGTATCATAATAGTAAAAAAGAGGAGGAGGGAAAAGAAAAAAAAAAAAAAAGGAGGGGGGAAAGGCCTTGGCTGTGGAGAGTGGGGCCTAAGAAAGGGCGAGGTTTGGGTGGTGGGCGGGGCCAATGCTCAGGACCTACAGGGCTGGAAAACCCTGGGGGCTGTGGGCGGTGGGGCTTAGGCTCCAGGAACAGAAGGGGCCCAGGCGTGCCCCCCACCCCTGGTCTCAGAGGGCAGGGCACCTCACCAGGGAGCCCAGCAGGCTTCCTGGGCTCGAGTGGGCAGGGCAATCATCCTCCACTCCTCTCCTGCTCCTCCCAGAGGGCCCCTCCTGTCTGCCTCTCCTGATCCCCCCGGCCTCCCTCCTATGCTCCCAAGGACCCACGCAGCCTGGATGGGCCTTGGAGGGCAGGGGATCGGCCTGGGAGCTCAGCAGGCTCCCCATGCCCCAGTGGGCGGGGCAATTGCCCTCCACTCCTCTCCCGCCTGTCTTTCCTGATCTCCCTGGCCTCCCTTCTAAGCCCCCAGGACCCACATGGCCTGGAGGGGGCTTTGGATTGCAGGGGACCGGCTTGGGAGCTCAGCAGGCTCCCCGGGCCCCAGTGAGCAGGGCAATCGCCCTCCACTCCTCTCCCGTGTCTCCCGGAGAGTCCCTACCACCTGCCTCTCCTGATCTCCCTGGCCTCAGGGGTGCCGATCTGGTCTGACTTCCAGTTCTCCTCCCCCCTCGGTCCCCCTACGTCCTACAGGTTCACTCTGGGGTTCCTCCTGTCTCCTTGGGGGTTAGAGTCCCCACCAGCAGCTGGCAGGTGCCCTAGTTGTGGGGAGACGCTAACTCCACGTCTTCCCACACCACCGTCTTGACTCCTCCTTTTGGGTTTTAAGAGCACATCTAGCATCCAAATCTTGGTTTCTAAAAACTATTCCTGACTAAAAGGAACAGAGCTCCTTGGAAAAGCAGTTGATTACTGATCTGGGGAGGGAAAAGACAAGATGAGCCTGGAGCATCTTATGGTACTACAATGTAAGACAGTGCTCATAAAAAGGTAAGGGCCAGTCTAAAGGGCAGACAAGTCTATATGACAGAGGCCCCCAGTGACCAAAGCTGGGATAATCTGAACAACAAAATAAATAATGATTGTATTAGATTATAACCTATGGAATAAAAAAAAAATCCATGAGTCTATATCGGTAATGTACAAATGATTCAGTAAATAAATAAATGAAGCAGAAGGGATGGCTCTTCCTTAGAGAATAATTCTAACTAAATAATATCGAAGAAATAAGAGACATAGAAAATCGCTGTTAGAACGCCATGACAACAATGAAGGCAGGCAAGGTCCACCAATGGATGCTACAAATCATGAGTGAAAGTGAGGTGAAACAGGATATTTGCAGCCTTAAACTTTCTACCCTGGTATATTCATTAACTACAAAGAGAAAAAGAGTAACTTCACAGCGCAGAAACACCACAGACATGAACTAAACTAAATGATCCAGGCTATTGCCATCAGTAATAAGACATACTGACTCCTTACACTGCTGATATGATATATTGAGAAGGGAACAACACTTCTGTAGTATTCTTGCCAAAAATGCATGGCCTCCATCTACTCGTGAGAAAACATCAGACAACCCACACTGAGGAACGTTCAACACGGTAACTGATCCATACTCCTCAAAACGTCAAGGTCAGAAAGACAAGGAGAGACTGAGGAACTGTCACAGATTGTAGGAGATGAAGGAGACAAGACAACTAACACCCCAGAAAACCAGAGGACATTAGTGGAAGAACGGGTGAAATCAAATTTGCAGTTTAGTAATGTACCAATTCTCTAATTGTATCAATTAGTATTTTACTAATTAGTTTTGATAATTGTACTGTGGTTATGTATAATGTAAACATTAGTGAAAACTAAGTGAAGGGTATACAGAAACTTTCTGTACTATTTTTGCAGCTTTTCTGTAAGTCTAAAATTATTTCGAGGGACTTCCCTGGTGGTCCAGTGACTAAAACTTCACGCTCCCAATGCAGGGGACCTGGGTTCGATCCCTGGTCAGGGAACTAGATCTCATACACCGCAACTATGAGTTTGCCTCAACTACAGATCCCACATGCCACAACTAAGACCTGGTGCAGTCAAATAAATAAAATAAAATAAATAAATATTTTTAACAAAAAAATAAATAAATGAAATTATTTTGAAATAAAAAGGTAAAAATAATTTGGATACTCACCCTTTATCCATTAATCATATGAAAATATCTTCCTCTTTGGGCACTCTGGTTGAGTTGATGCGTCTCCGAGCTGGAATGTTAGCTGTTCCTTCCAAAGGCCGTTCCTTCTATTGCTCTGTCAGGTCGGCGGCCTCAGGATGGGGAGGTAGACATTAGGATTAGTGGATCCCACGGTCATCTGCCCATTACTGCGCCCGCCTTTGCTAAAAAGTGGATCACTTGGCCTGAGGGGATGGTATGTGATATACCATGTCGGTGGGTCAAACACTGTGTGAGCCTTCAGATGCTGGTGCTGGCTGAGGCCATGCAGGCAGGAGAGGCTAACGATACGCATAATATGTACTGCATTGATTTCAGTCAAGATAAATTGCTCCCTTTCCAGAGTGGAAAGGGTCTGACGTGGTCAACTTGTTACCAAGTGGCTGGCTGGTCTCCCTGAGGAATGGTGCCATGTGGCAGATTCAGTGTCGCTGTAGGGTGAACACTCAGCAGTGGCAGTAGCTAGGTCAGCCTTAGTGAGTGGGTGTCCATGCCGGTGGACCTGTTACTAGCCTCTCGCCTACTGCCATTGTGCCAGCGCTGGGGGGGTCTTTCACAGTGGCTGGCCGATGACTGCTGGCTGAATCACGCTGTTTACTTGGTTTAGTCTCTTCCATGGCAGATGCTCTCTGGGGGGCGTTAACATATGATACGTGTGCTATAAAGACCTCACTTTGTGTCTGGTCCTCAAGATCCATCTATGTGCCTCTTCTCCAAACCTCCTTGACCCTGATGTTCCAATCTCCTCATAGGCCCCTGACCAACCAGCCAAGCCATTCACCATTGCCCATGGGCCCATATATATTCTTCTATTGGACCCCTTTTCTTTCTACAAAAGGGGATGACTAGGTGCATGACCTGGAGCTCTGCCAATCGGGAGGATCTCAGGGTTACTCCCAAGTGGGGCTGTAGTACAACAGTCCATGTTCAGCTCAAACCCTCATATTGAGCCAATCCATTCACGAATCAAGCTTGAACTTTTTCCTCCTCCATCAGCTGGTCATAAGAGTTCCCCCATACGGCTGTAGGTGTGAGCTGAGGGAAAGGTACTGGCCAAGCAATGGTGGGTGACATGGGGGTCTGGGCCACCTACTCATGCAGCTGACTTTGCCCTCTGGCCCTGCTTGTGCCCAATTTTCTTGCTCCCCTTTTTGTTTTGGACCTGCCTGACTTTATGACTTGGTGGGTCTGATAGAAGGCAGGTCATGACAGCCAACTCTGGCCACATGATCACTCAATGGTATCTTGTGGTCACACTCACCATCTTAACCAGGACCCAGTAGTAGGCCGGGGCAGTGTTTTTGTATAGTGTGTAGGTCTCTGTTGCAGATGTCATGACCCTGCTCCAGAACCTTAGGAATCTCTATCATGGCTCTTCTTTTTAGGGTTTGCCACAAAACTCTACCTGGCATCTCTCCTCCATCCATAGATACCTCTAGTACCAACAGCTACATGTGGCTAACGGTTACCATATTGGAAAGCACAGATACAGAACATTGCTATCAGTTCAGCAAGTGTATTAGACAGTACCACATCTAGATGTAACAGTTTACAAGAAGTACAGAATCTCACAAGGATACAATCATCCAAAAACAGAATGCGGAAAATTCTACAGAACAAGTGACCTAGTTTCTTTAACAAATAAATGTCATGGAAGAATGGGGGAGAGGGAAACTGTTCTAGATTAAGACGCTTATGAGACACATTAACCAAATACATTCTGTGGACTTTCCCTGGATCTTGATTTGAACTAACCAACTGTAAAAGAGATGATTTTTGAGATAAGCCAGTTAAGCAACACACTGAGAATGGAAATGTGGGCTCATTCAAATGTGCTTGGGGAGAAGGACCCAAGTAGGAGTTTGTATTCCTGGTTTGACTGGGAAGAAAAACAAAGCCAGAAATAGCTTTATCTCAGTAATGTTAGCAACACACCTCTTCAAATTTGCTGTGGGAGGAAAACAGAGCTTGGAATACTTTCAAGAGCAGCAGCCACATCACTCCCCTCGATCCTGGGATATGCCCAGTGGGAGAGTGGAGACAAAGGGATGCGACAGTCTTTTCCTTGGCTGATCTGGCAAACTGCTGCTCATCCTTAGCACTCCTCTTCCAGGAAGTCTTCCTGGCTTGCCTTACTGCCCTACCCCCATCCTAACCCCCAAGAGCCTCCCTGTGCTTTCCTCCTCATAGCCCCGATCAAGGCCTACTCTAACTGTGACACTGGAGCTGGGACTTGCAGGGTGAGAAAAATCAAGGGTGTGTCCCAAGCCCCTGAGCCTTGCTGGAGCTCTGGGTATTCGGACCACAAGAAGCCACTGCATAGTCTTAAGCCAGGAAGTGGCGGCTGTTCTGTTTCCCTTTGTGCTCAGTAAGCCTCACCTCTCCTTTAAGAAGTACTGACTCAGCAAGGGCTGGCAGGGCCACCTTAAGGCCGTGCCACCTTAAGCAGCCCTGCCCCCAGCACAACCAATAGGCTGGGGTGGTCACCGGCTGTTGCCCAGCTATGGCCAGCCTGCTCCGGGCTGCAACTTGGGGGATGTTCCCCTGGAGGGGCTACTGCTCCAGGGGGACTCAGGTAGGTGGGAGGAGAGGAGCCCCTTAGAGGGTGGGGGGCCCCTGATGCCGAGTTCCGGCCAGACTCTGTGCTGCCCCAGCACCAGGAGACCTTGAGCAGAGGCTCGCTGGGCTCACCCCAGGTCAAATGTGGGTGTTCAGTGCGCTGGGCCGAAGCCCTCACAGCTGCCATGAGTGGGGCTGGGGGGTGTCAACTGAAAGATTTGTGGACTCTAGGGCACCCCTTTGAGGGCCCGGAATACACACACATTTTGAAAGAATGCCTGGGAGGCAAGGAGCTGGGTTCTAGGCCAGGCCCTGTCCTGGACTTGCTGGCTTCTTTTCCTCATCTGTAAAATGGGAAGAAATCCCCAGAAGGGCTCCAAGAGCCCTACGAGCCCCCGGCCGAAGCGGGGTAGGGGTGTGGGTGCCTCTGTTCACAGGCAATGGAACCCCCACTCCCACCCCTCCCACTGGCCAGGTGGTCCCAGGTATCTTTGAGTGACCCTGCCAATGTGTTTCTCCCCTGCAGGGTGAACTCAGCGAGGGCTTTGTGGAGGCTTTGAAGGCAGTTGTGGGGAGCCCCCATGTGACTACTGCTGCTGTGGTCCGGGAGCAGCACGGGCACGATGAGTCAATGCACAGGTGGGCTCCGCCACTCCCCTGCATCAGAACCCCTGGCTGGGAGTGAGGGTCCTGGGTTATCTTCTGCCCCTCAACCCCCGCCATCTGTTTTTGGGTGATCTGGCATCCTCCACCTCTCCTCTATGCCCCCAGAAGGGTGTTCTCTGCCCCTCGCCCACTGTGCAGCCTCAGGCCCTGCCATATCTTCAAACTTGAGCAGGACCAGAGGGTACCACACACCCCTACATTGCTGAGGGTCTGGTTCCAGGTGCCAACCTCCGGACGCCGTGGTGTGGCCCCAGAATGTGGAGCAGGTCAGCCGGCTGGCAGCCCTGTGCTATGGCCAAGGCGTGCCCATCATCCCATTCGGCTCGGGCACCGGGCTTGAGGGTGGAGTCTGTGCCGTGCAGGTATGTATGGTGGGTGGACAACTCCCCTGGCCAGGCTCTAGTCCCACCACACTTGTCACACCGGCAGCTGCCTCCTCCACCACACCAGCCTGGCTGGCCAGGTCCAGCCCTCCTTACCTGCCATCCCGGGGCTCTGGTCTGGCTGCTGGGAGGTCGGCCTCGAGCTGGGGTCCTGGGGGCTGTGTCCTGGCGAAAGATCTAGGTCAGTAACCGCTTGAACGCCCTCTGTCAGGGCGGCGTCTGTGTCAACCTGACCCACATGGACCGAATCCTGGAGCTGAATCCGGAAGACTTCTCTGTGGTGGTGGAGCCCGGCGTCACCCGCAAAGCCCTCAACTCCCACCTGCGCGACAGCGGCCTCTGGTTCCCTGTGGGTAGGCTGGGGCTCCAGGACTTTCCTGGGCCTGGAGGGCTCCCTCGTGGCAGGGGTGTTTCCGGGGCTTGGCGGACCCCTCTGCCCACGGGCACCCGCCCCAGGCTTCCTTCTGCCTGCCCTCTGCCCTCCAGACCCAGGTGCAGACGCCTCTCTCTGCGGCATGGTGGCCACCGGCGCCTCGGGCACCAACGCTGTGCGCTACGGCACCATGCGCGACAACGTGCTGAACCTGGAGGTGGTGCTGCCGGGAGGGCGGCTGCTTCACACCGCAGGCCCGGGACGTCACTTCCGGTGAGCGCCCTCTACCGGCGGCGACGGGGGCCTCCTGGAGAGGCGGGTCGTGAAATTGCCCTGTGGGCCAAAGCTGGTGGTCCGGAGGCCTATTTGGGCTGTGCCAGGAAACGGCTGCCTGGGTGGCAGTCTGCACAGAGGCGGGTGAGCCCAGACCTCAGGCTCAGCTCCCCACCTGGCTTCTGGCCACAAATCCGTCGTCACGTGGCCTGGGCACTCACCTACCTCATGTCCCCGGGGAACCAGGAAGAGCGCAGCTGGCTACAACCTCACTGGGCTGTTTGTGGGCTCCGAGGGGACGCTGGGCCTCATCACGGCCGCTACACTGCGCCTGCACCCTGCCCCTGAGGCCACGGTGGCTGCCACCTGTGCCTTCCCCAGCGTCCAGGCGGCCGTGGACAGCACCGTACACATCCTCCAGGCTGCAGTGCCCGTGGCCCGCATTGGTGAGCCTGGGATTGGGCCGTCCAGGTGGGCTCCCCTTTGAAGGCCATGCGTCACCTCACGTGGCTTCTCCTTGGTCCCAGAGTTCCTGGATGACGTCATGATGGATGCCTGCAACAGGCATAGCAAGCTGAACTGCTGCGTGGCGCCCACGCTCTTCCTCGAGTTCCACGGCTCCGAGCAGGCGCTGGCAGAGCAGGTGCAGCGCACAGGTGTGCTGGGGTGCTGTGGGCGGGGCGGGGCCTGGGCTGCCCCAGAGTAGGGCCTGGTGTCAACCCCCCGCCCCCGACAGAGGAGATCATCCGGCACAACGGAGGCTCTCACTTCTCCTGGGCCAAGGAGGCGGAGGACCGCAGCCGGCTCTGGGCAGCGCGGCACAACGCCTGGTACGCTGCCCTGGCGCTGCGGCCGGGCTGCAAGGTGAGCGGGCTGGGGTGGACACGGGAGCCTTTCCTCAGCCTACTGCCCTATTGTCCAGGGCAGCAGGCAGAGGCTCCAGCAGGCAGGACTGCCAAATCCTCGGGAGGGAGCCCCTGCCCCGAGCCAGGCCCTGGGTGCAGGGACCAAGGAGGGGCAGTGTGGACACAGAAGGCAGGCTTCCTGGAGGAAGAGGTGGTGAAGCGGAAGGGGAGGCTGGGCTCCAGGTGCTGGGGGGCCTGCACGGTAGCGGGGGTGGGGAGCAGGATGAGAGCCCTGGGAGCCTAGCCGGGCCAGTCGCCTTGTTGCGCAGGGAAACTGAGGCTTAGAGACAGTAGGCACGTTCATGTGAGAGGCCGAGCACCCCGAGCCCATTCGTACCCTTGACCCCTTACCTCCTGGGCAGGCTGGGTGAGGGAGGGAAGCTCACCGGCCTGCCCCGACTCAGGGCTATTCTACCGACGTGTGTGTGCCCATCTCCCGGCTGCCGGAGATCCTGGTGCAGACCAAGGAGGACCTGCAGGCCTCGGGACTCACAGGTTCTGCCTGCCCCATGCGGGGCGCGGTGGGAGGGTGGGGGCGGGGCTGGGGCAGCAGCTGTGTCCTCTGGGCCCCCAGGAACCATCGTTGGGCACGTGGGTGACGGCAATTTCCACTGCATCCTGGTGGTAGACCCGGAGGACCACGAGGAGCTCCTCAGGGTCAAGGCCTTTGCAGAACAGCTGGTCAGGTAAGGGCAAAGCGGGAAGCAGGGTGGGAGAGAGCTGAGGGAACTGGGAGGGGCACCCGCTGAGGACCTCTTCCCGCTGCTTCCCAGGCGAGCACTGGCACTCCGTGGCACGTGCACAGGGGAACATGGCATCGGTCTGGGCAAGCGGCAGCTGCTGCAGGAGGAGGTGGGCACGGTGGGCATTGAGACCATGCGGCAGCTCAAGGCCACGCTAGACCCCCGAGGCCTCATGAACCCAGGCAAGGTGCTGTGAGGGGCTCGGAGCACCTGGCCCACAAGCCCCCAGAGAGTGGCACCTCCTGTTCCGGAACCTGTTTTCCTGCCATGGAACAGCTCTGCCTTTGCCTGGACCCTGCAGGGGTCTTCGCCAGCCCGCTAGCCCTTTCATCCCAGCCGAGGCCAGAGAGAGGAGGGAGAAGCCTGGTCGGCTGTCTTCTCCCTGGCCCTCTTGCTGGCCTCAGGAGCCTTTGGTCCAGTAAATGGCTCAGGGTCATTCCCGGTGAAGCTGCTTCCTCTCTGCTCGCTTACACATCCTGTAAGGTGGTGTGGGTCAGTCACCCCAAAGACTAGGACAACCCCCCTCCAGCTTAGCCTCCCCACTGCCAGGGCAGGAGAACAAAGGCTGGGGGCCCCAGCACCTATAGCCCAACTCCATCTGCCTGGTGACAGGAATGCTCCTTTGCTGGTGGGGGAAGGGACCTTCCGCTCCACACTCATGACCCCCAAAATAAACCTGAACCCCACGTGCAGTTGTCTGGAGATGAGCAGGCAGCACCTGTGAATGAACCCCTGTGCCTGCCCGCCCCACCTCCTCCAAGTTCTTTGTCCTTTGGCTGGTGACGTCCTCGTCCCTCATCCCGGGCCTGCCCTCTGACTTGCTGCAGCCTGAGGAGGGGCAGCTGCTCTGCCTCTCAGAGCCCCAGGGCCTAAGGACTTGCCCATGTCCATCATCACTTACCACAGACTCCCCCACTGAGCCCCAAGTGTACTCTAGAACATTCTGAACATGTCCTTCAGGTGGCTGCTACCAACCATTGCAAATGGAAGTGATTTTCCTGGTACCACACCTCTCCACAGTGTGATGTATTATACTACCAGCTTTTTTGCCTCAACCTCAGGCTCAGTCCACCCTGGGGCCTGCTCCTGCCTCGGTCAGGATTCCTGATCAGAGGACCTTGTCTGGGGTACCTGGCAGTTGTTCCCCCTAAGCCCACGAGAGGGCGCCCGACACCTCAGAGCTTAGACACCAGTATCTGCTTGGGGCAGTGGTGCCCAACACTCACCTCTGCAGGGACCTGCAGCTCTCAGCTCTGGGCCCCCCACTTCCCAGGGTCTAGCAGGTGTCTGGAGTCCTGGAAACCAGTCTCTAAGCTCTCCACGCCCCTGCAGGTCCCAGGAGCCTCTAGTGCAGGCCCATCTCCCTCACCCCAAGGCCTTGGCCCTTAGGAAAAGGGCTGGGCGAGGGGTGCAGGGGAGCCAGGGGCACACTCCATCTCGCCTCACTCCCATTCTCCCAAGCCACCTCTGAGCTCCTTCCCTGCCTCCACTCCCTCCGCCCCTCCCCACCTCTCCCCTCAGCTGTTCAGGCAGCCCCTCTGGCTCCTGAGACCAGCTCGGTTCTTGGAACCCCTCCTTTCTGCTAACTTGGGGCTGAGCCCTGAGTTCGCTCCTCTGTGACATTTCTGTCCCTTGGATGTGCCAGGGGGTGGTGTGGGGCAAGTCCCATGGGCCCTCCCCCACAAGCACCCAATAAAGCGGACTCGAACCATCTAACCATCAGCCACCAGTGCCCTCCCCTCCACGCAGGCAGCCCACCACCAGCAGCCCCCCGGGGCAGCATTCTGCAGGGGCAGGCTCCTCCCCTACAGGGCAGGGCTTGTCTCTGATGTGCCCCTCAGTGCCTGGCAACTAGTAGGTGTTCAGCAAATGGCCACTTCCCCACAATTCTTTACTAGGAAAAACTCCAAACACGCAGGACAGTTGGAAGAACAAGTACACTGTTCACTGAAATACTAGCCACTGAAGATTCAACAATGAATATTTTTGCCTTACTTGCTTCGTGCGTGTATTTTTTGGGGAACCATTTGGAATTGAGTTACAAATTTGTTGACATCATTCACCTATATAATCCAGCATCTATTCCCTAGGAATAAGGACCTAAAAACCTCGACACCATTAAATGGCTCCTAGATGACTGGTTTTAGTGAGGTGCCCCTTTCCAGGAAGCCCCCTCCCCTTCACGTGTGCTGGGCCCTTAGCAGAGGGAGTGGGTGGAACCCACCTCCCAGTGCCTGCCAATTCCCTCCCCTCCCGGAAAGGCAGAGTTGAGGAGAGCTGTTGGGATGGAGGATGACAGACACCAGTTCCATCTGGAAAGCCCGGACAACCCTGGTCCTACCCCCGCCCAGGAGCTGGCAGTCTGGGTCTGAATTTGGAGGAGACGGCAACCAGCAGAGGGCTGCAGTGTGCCAGGTGGGAGTGAAGTCGCTGGGGGTGGGATAGGCACCAGCCCCAGGAGCCTGGAATAGCAGCCGGCGTGGGCTCCAGCCCTGCCCCAACCCAGCTCGACCCCTCAGCTCACCCAGGGCGCTGCCAAGGCTGCCAGGCCTAAGCCACCGAGGTGGGCACAGAGGCCTCCTCTGCCTGCAGGCCCAGGGGTCAGGCAAGGAGATCCTCAGGGCCAGCTTTGCTGGAGGAATTAAATATAGAACAGGCAGACATAGTTGCCAGGCAGAAGCAGGAGGTGCTGTGAATAGAACAGTGCTCTTTGCGGTGACAAAGCCACGAGCGAGCCTGCTACGCACGTGCCAGGGGCTTCTGGGCAGATCCTCTGACCCTCACGGTGGCCTCTGAGCCGCGTGACTTTGTTCCCACTTCACGTGTGGGGCATCTGAAGTTCAGATGAAGTCCTTTCCCCAGCGTGGTTCTGCCAGGCAAAGGAGCCCCATACAGACAGTTTAGAGCCCAGGTTTTTGCCACCATGGCGACTGCGGGTACCCGGGGTCATTACCCCACAAGCTCAGACCCACAAACTCCTCTTGAGTATTTCTCTGAAATGCTGAGTGTGCCAGTGCCTTGGCTCAGATTTGCCCACCAGCCTGCAATGCCCTTGTACAGAGCAGGTGCTTCAGCAAGTGTCTGACAGAAGACAACTGCAGAGCCTGGGCCTGGTGGGGTCAGAGCCCATAGAGGCAGCAGCACACAGGAGGCCCGAGAAGGGGCGGAGCAGGAGTCTTCCTCCACAGCTTTCTTCACAGGCTCTGCAGGAGGCTCTGGAATGCCGCTCCGGGAGCCGGTCTGGCACAGGGACAGAGGCGCCAGGTGGGCACTGCTACCTGCTGCCCTGAGCTTCCCACCCAGCCCAAGGTGTGCCAACTCGTGTGAGCCCTGAGTGGCTGGCTCTAGTTCAAGGGCTCTGAGCTGGCTCAGCCCCAAACCAGGGCCTCATTCTGGGCCTCAATGAAGGATGCCCATGAGTCAGCACTGAGATGTGGCCGGAGCAACAGGAAGGGCAGGGTGTGGAATGGGGAGCCAGGGATTGGGTGGGGGGCGGTCTGGGCTAGTGCCTGGAAGAACCCGCATCCTTGCAGCCTCCATCCGCTGCAAGGTCTTTGCCCTGCAGATCTTTCCAGAAGAGTTCTGTCACGACCGCTCCACAGCTGATGGCAGATAGATTCCACGAGGCTTGAATGGGTCGTAAAGCTGCGGGACTCCGGCCTGACCTGCCACGTTCCCTCACCCGGGCGTGATCGCTGAGAACCACATCACACACCTGTAGCCCCGATGCTAGCCTGAAGGAAGGCTAAGGAGGTAGGCAAGGGAGCAGCGGACAGACCGTCAACGCCCATTTCTTGATTGTGTAACAATACTTGATTAAAATGAAGTCACACAGTGCATCTTTTATTAGACATTATTTTAATACCATATCAAAACACCTTGACTAATGAAGAAAGCCTTTTCCCCCAGCTTTGAACGTATTTTTAAACATTTTATAAGGTTTTTTTTTTTTTGTATTTTAAAATATAAATACAGAAACCTATCTTGCAGGGGCTGATGCCACATGTGAACATCAATGGCTAGAATGTTCTCAAACAGAATGCCTGAAAACAGGGGCAGCTGTACATATCCCTTTAATAAGTCTTTTGTTTGTCTAGGTTTTCTGGAAAAAAAAAATCCACAAGGGTCTAAGAAAAACGTTCAGGCATTTTTGCAGGACACTTGTGATTGTTAAATCCTCTGAACTGACCAGAACCAGGAGGGAAGAGGGGAGGAGAAATGGAAAGGAGGGGGGGAGAAGGTCCTCAGTGGGTTGGTTTTTGGCAATGAAGTCAAGATATCAGGGTCCCAAGGGGAGAAAAGTGCAAAACCAAGCCAGAAAATTGGGGAAAAAAACCAACCAAACAACAACAACAAAAAAAACCAAGGCAGAGCGGTTGATGGAGAGACCGCCGGGTGCTGGGCACGGGAGGGCTGTGAGCTCTGCTCTGCGAGTGGCGAGAACCCGGCTCTGGTCGTTTTGTCACTGAGCGGGTTCTGGCCGGGCAGCAGACGGCAATCTGTAAACATCACGAGGGAAAACACCAGTCGACACTAGACATTTTTTTTTATATATTTTTTTTTTTGTAAACACTTTAGAGACAGACCCACAACGCCTTTCAAAGGTGAAAAAGAAAATGCCCTTTCCCTCCTGAGATGAGGATGAGGGGAAGGATATTGGGTGATTCTTTCTTCTCTCAAACTCGCTCTCATTCAATCTGGTGTCCTCAGGGAGAAAGGGAGAACCATTCTCTGGAAGTCAGTGCAGGAGGGGTGCCCTGTTCCCACTGGTGTCCCCAGCTCAGCTCTGCCCCAGTGTCCGAAGCCTCCTCTCAGGAACGGGGGCCTGGCTGTCCCTGTGGGGACCGTAAGATGTAAGTCGTGCTCCATCGGGCCCGAGGCCAGCCGCGTGCATCCCGCTGAGGCCGGGCAGGGGCACCTGTGGTTCCGGTCTGGGGGCCCCGAAGCCAAACATCATGCCGGGAATTTGGACTTGCAGCCAGCACGAAGCTCCATTCCCTCTGCCTCACGCTCCCCCTCGCCTTTTCTTCACCCCACGTCCTCAGTTTTTGAGGTGAAGGTAAAAAGGGCAAATGTCCCTGAATAGTTTGACATCATCAGCTGTTCTGGGAGTTTACTTGGAATAAATAAAATAAACCTAACAAAGAACAAAAGAAAACAAAAAACGAGAGAAAGAGGGAGAGGGAGAGAGAGAGAGAGTGCGCAAAAGAGGCCCCGAGAGAAAGAGGGAGAGGGAGAGAGAGAGGAGAGAGAGCACAAAAGAGGCCCCCAAACCCTTGGATTCACGTGAGATGAGGTGGGTTTTGGTTTCTCATTTGGCAGAAAACAGAAGAGTGCCAGCCCAGAACTTGGGAGGGCCAGCTAGGATGGGGACAGGAGAGAAGGGTCAGCAGTAAAGCAGGGCACCTGCGGGAGAAACTGGGGTTGGACGACGGTGACAGGGGAGCACATGTGCGCATCTCAGGAGGAAGCTGGTTGTGCTGGTCTGCTGTGCAAACAGGGACTTGGGTGGCGGGGCCCCAGGTCTGGCCTGGAGGCCTCAGATTCATCTGGAAGGGGGTGAGGGCGGTGGGTGCAGGCGGGAAGAACCAGCCAAGCGCTGACTGCTGACAAGCGCTGCAGGGAACGAGGCGCCGTCCCACACTCGGTCTTGTCCAATGAGTGTGCTGTCCACGTGGGGACGCAAGCAAGATTATCCCGTCCCCAAAGCAGCAGCAGAGACACCCACGCCACTGAGGGGCAAGGACCTGCCCCGGCCCCCCAGCAAGCACGAGGCACAGCTGGGGTGCAAAGCAGCATCCTGTCCCAGGGCTTGTGCTGCTTCTCCTGCCCAGCACTTTCCAAGGGACCTTCCTGAACCTTCCTCGGGGAGATTCGCCCTAGACACGGGGAACACGAGGGGCCTTCCCCCAACTCACCTTCCTCTACCCGGCAGGTTCTTCCTCGTGACGTGCGAGTCTGGACTCTCAACCTTCCCAGGAACCCTCCCCATCTCACGGAACCCCTGCTGCTGAGATGCTCCCCTCACCCCCGACCCCTCCTGGCCGGGGGAGGCGGGGCGCGGGGTGCCGTGAGGGCAGCTCAGCCCCCCTCTCCGCCTCCAGGCCCCAGAGCAACGCGACCCCAACCACGGGCTCACCTTTGAGAGGAGTCAGCAAGCGAGCCCAGCAGGGTCAGTCCGCGGGGTGTTCTGGACAAGATCTGTTCACTTCAAACCATGAGTCTATGCAACTGAGGGGAGACGGTAAGGGAGACACATCACCGGCTGGCCAGGCCGCTCCCTGGGGGCTAGCTCCAAGGGTCGGGTCTCTGGGCAGGGAATGCCTGACGCTCACCTGCGGGGACCCCACATACCCACTGTCTGCTAGCAGAAGGGAGGACACCCGGGGGGACCTGGCACAGCTGGAGTCCCGGTGCAGTGCGTACGGGCTTGGGCTGGACCTAGGCACTGCAGGACGCAGGGAGTGTGCCCTCGCGAGGGACAAGGCCTCTGGGGCATGGAGCCCAGGAGGACGGCAACAGCTACGGGTCAGAGGGTGAGAGTGGGGGGCTGCCCAGGGCAGCCAGTCAACTATCGCCAAGGCTTAAAGGGCAAAGAAGTGGGAACAAAGCCCTGGCAGGCTGTTCACGGCCCTGAGCAAGCCCTCTCCGGAGTCACAGGAGCAGCCTGAGGCTCCCTCCCTGGTCTCCCTCGCAGGAGGCGCCCAGGCTCTGCCTGGCTTGGCTGGCTGTGGTGGGCAGCCAGCATCTAGTCCTCCTTCCTGGAGCAGGTGGGCCAGGGGAGGACTGGCCCTGTGGCTTGGTGACTTTGCTCAGGAGAGCCAGACAAGAGGCCAGCGGGGAAATCCTGGTCTCTAGTGTTTACAGAAAGCACTGTCTGAACAGAGAGGGAACAGAAATTGGCCCAAGACAGCTTTCTGTAAAACATCTGGGTATTTTCAAAACAGGAACCAGACAGATCATTTGCATAAGTCTCTCCCAGAGCTGAAGACTCTCTTCTTCTGGCTCTGGTCAATGCTTCCCTGGGACACTGGAGCGCTGGGTGCTGCGCCCAGGCCAAGACCCCCTCCCCTTAGGCCTCACTTGCGCCTTTCTGACACCAGCCACATCCACGTGCTGCCCTGTGGCCAGTGGCCCCGTGAGTCAGGCTTTGGAAAAGCCTGTGTGTCCGGAAGCAGCTCTGGGGCTCCAGGGGCCGAGAACAGGTGGAGGCCGCGGGCAGCACAGAGCGTCCTCCTGTCCTGGGTAAGGAGGTGTCTTCTTTCCAGTTGGAAACAAGAATGAGGCTCATGCTGGAGCCTGAGGGCGAATCTCAGTCCTGCTAATTATAGCCGCTTGCAGCACTGGGGCCCACAGGTAGTGGCTATTCCTGCCTGCTGGGCCTCTGGGGAGGAGGGGCGGGGCCGGGGCAGCCAGCACACCCCTCTGTGCTGACCACCCCCCCCCCCCCCCCCAGACCAGGGTCTGCACACTGGAGCAGAGGGGCTCACAGAGATGGACGGGGGCTCAACCTTCCAGGGGGCAGGGGCTCCACAGGCCTCCCCGTCGGGCCCGCCACCCAGGCTCTGCGCTCAGCACGTCCAGAACTCCCCACCTGCTGACCTCTGCCTCGACTCCACTCAGAGTGCTGGGGGACGGGGTGGCTAGTGACAGTCTGCCCTTCTCTCCCCCCACCCACAGGGATGGGGCCCTCTGGGGTCTGGGGTGCAGCTAAGCTGGCCCTGCCGGCCCTCTCGTACCTTTTGTGATAAATGCACAGGCAGGGCAGCCTGGCTATCGTGTCCCCCTGAAGCAGCTCCTCCAGGCAGATCACACACTCACCCGCATCTTTAGTCAGCACGTCATCTGCAAAGGGGGGACAGAGGAGAGTGGGGGGTCAGTCACCAGCAGGCAGGGATCTAGGAGCTGCTTGGGACTGCATGGGTCACCTGAGTCAGCGAAAGCCCGAGAGAGACCTTGATGTAAAGGTCCTCACTGTGGACACAAGACACGCAAACCACACACTAACTACCTGAAGACAAAATGGGATTAATCACCAAGTAAGCGGCCCAGGTGATGAAGGACGAAAAAAGCTTGGAGAGGAGGAGACATGCAGCAGAGGCAGCACGAGACAGAATGGTTCCCTGAACAGACTTTCCCCCTAAACATACACACAGACCAGGTGCACTGGATTTCTGGTTTGGAAAAAATGGTGATGAGGAGAGTGGTACGAGGCAAGGGTGAAGGGAAGAAACGGGTACCCCAGCAAATACGCGTACATGTGTGTCCACGGCAGCATTATTCACAAGAGCCAAAGGTGGAAACAACCCAAAGGTCCGCCAGCGGATGAATGGAGAAATGAACCGCGTGGACCCACACAACAGCGTATCCCCTCAGCCAGGAAAGGGGTGGAGGGCTGACGCCTGCTGCAACATGGGTGCACCTTGAAAACATGGTGCCGAGTGGAAGGAGCCAGATGCAAAAGGCCACCTGCTTTCTGATCCCGTTTATGTGAAATGTCCAGAGGAGGCAAATTCAGAGACAAAAAAGTAGGTCAGGGGCTGGGGGCAGGGGGCACTAGGGAGTGACTGCTTAATGAGTAAGCGATTTTCCTTTGTTTTTCTTGTGGTAACGTGAGATCTCTTAACATAAGATCTACCCTCTTAATAAAAATGTAAGAGTACAGTCTACTATTGTAGGGAAGCCCCATACCTGAAACCTTCTGCCAGTTGAATAGCAATTGCCTGTTTCCCTCTCCCCTGTCAACACTTCTACTCTCGGGTTCTATGGGGTTGACTGCTTTAGCTCCTTCATGTGAGTGGAGTCACGCAAGGAGCTCCTTCTGGGATGATGACATGTTTGGAACTAGACAAGAGATGGTGGTTGCACAACATTGTGAATGTCCCAAATGCCACTGCACTGTACACGTAAAAATGGTTACTTGTGTGTTATACAAATTTTAACTCAGTTAAATATTTAGAAAAGACACCCCACACCCCACCAGAAAAGAAGGAATGGAAGGGAGCTGCTGCCCACCACGGCCCCAAGCAAAGCCGTGGCCAGGACAGCCCGAGCACAGCAGGGGGCCGAGCCAGCATCCCCTACGACATTTCTATGACATTCTGGGCACTGGCGACTCAGTGAATAAGCCACGGTCTCAGGATTCAAGAAACTCATAGCCTAGCAGGGGCGGCTGAACAAGAAGACAGAAATGAACAGCACAGGAATTCCTGGAAGTCTTACGACACACACAGATCCAGATGTGAGAAGTACGGGAGATGCCCAGTCGGGGTGGGGACTGTTCAGGGAGGGCTATTCCGGGCAAAGGGGACAGCGTCTGTGCACCTGGCAAGGCAGGATGTTTGCTGTAGTAGGTGCAGAGTCCTGGGGCCGTGGGGGGGGGGGGTAGGTGAGACCCATTTCCTGAGGACGGACTTGTATCCTGCTGTGCTACCTGGCCTTTATCTGGGTCACTGAAGGGCCTTGGAGACGCACTGATCACATCTAGTCTCCTGAAACTACTGGAAATGACTGGAAGAGCCCACAGATGGGGAGCCTGCTATGGAGGCTAATGCCGGGTGCAGGAGAGATGAACTCAAGGCCGGCACCAGCAATGGGGGGAGGTGGATGGCATGAATTGGGGCAGCTGGGCAAACGGGGGCCAGGGGAGGGGAGCGCACACTTGTCAGAGCAAGAGGGAGCCAGAAGGAGGCCCAGCTTGGGAAGTAATGATGAGCTCAGAGCTGGGTGGTAGGCGCTGACCGGGCGTCTCCCCCAGGACGCGCTAATGGAAACCTGCTGGAGTCCATTCAAGTCCAGATCTGGGGTTTAGAGGAGAGATGTGGGCAACAGGGGTGGATGTGGGATAAAGAGCTTAGACAAATCTCAAGAAGGCAGACGACTGAACCCAGGTGAATTCTAATTTTTGAAAGGCAGGTGAGAGAGGTGAAGTCAGCAAAAGGTTACCCAGAAGTTCTCAGAACCATAGGAGAAGTACCCTGAGAACAGGTTCTGGATGTAAAGAAAGCAAAGCCTGAAGCAGGGCAACTCCCCACTTCTGAAAGATTTTAACCGATCGTGAACACTGCCAACGATACACACTGAGATTTCACGTGTGTTCAGTGAGCCTCAGGATCCTACAAGCCGGGCAGGGTACACGGTGTCATTCCTGTTTTGCAAAAGGGGACACTGTAGCCAGAGAGTCAGACACCTTGCCGAAGTCAAAGGGCTCATGAATGGGGCAGGGCCAGGGACCCTCTGTGGGGCTGCCCTCCACCACTGCGGTTTCTTTGTGCCCTCTGATAACTTTAGTGGAAGGGGAAGCATCTGGGGCCCATAAAATGAGGATTCTTCATGGCCTAGAAGGGTATGGTGACTCAGAGCCCCCCATCAGGAACCCCAAGGAAAACAACTAAGATAGAGTCAACTCAATACTTAAGTCCTTATGCACAAGAGCTGGGAGAGAAGTCACTTTCAGCTTCCAGGCCACCAGGACAGCCTGTGGTCATGTTCTCTGTTAAGATCTGCCTAACCCAAAGCCCCAGAGCCCACCTGAAAGGGCGACGTGGAGGGAAGAGCAGACAGCACACAGTCGGTCTGCCACTGGAGTGTCACCTCAGACTCCAAACGTGGCAAGGGGCACATCTGTAAAAGGGTATGATCCCATTTTTAAAAAAGCACTAGATACCATACACATTTAAATATTTGTGTATGTGGAAGCCCAGGAAGAAGTCTGGAGGGAAACACACACTTTAATAGTAGCGGAGGAAAGGAGGATTAGAAGAAAAATATTTTTATATATTTTTGAATTGTTTGAACAGGCATTACTTTTATAATTAACAACCCCCAATAAAGAAACAGACTAGTGTTTTCATTTCACTCTGAAATGTATCGAAAGGATAATACGGATTGGTGGGTGGAGAGACGTGATAGAGCAAGTACAGTACAATGCACACTCTAGGTGGGGGGATTTTGGTTTTTACTGCAAAACTCTCAACTTTGCTGTACGTTTGACATTTTTCATAATAAAATACTAGGAGGAAAAAACTCCAATAAAGACGGGAGGAAAAATAGACCAGCTCTGAGAAGGCAGTCGCTGCGGACCTTCTTGGGCATTTATTCCCACTCTCTGTCTCCGGCATCTCATCTGTAAAGTGAGGATCTGGGATACAGCCCCTTTTCCGTGCTTCCCTCCTCACTTATGATTTCCTTGGGAACACAGCAACATTACTGATTCCGAATCAGCGTCCCCTTCTGATTGGTGAGTCAGCTGGGAGCCCAGGGGCAAGTCAGAATTCCCTCAGTCCCAAACAGTTTGCTGCATGAGCTGCGCTCTGTCTGTCCTGTCAGGTCCAGGCTGGGGTAGGGGGCGGGAGCCAGGCAAGGGGATGAGACCTGGGGCTTGCTTCTTCAGCGGGACTGGACTGGACTCTCCTCTCTTTTCTCGCTAGGTATCACTAGGGGAAGGGGAAGGAGAAAGAGGCACGAGGGCGGTTCATCTTCTTATCAAGGACTCAGACTTGAGCACATGGAGGCTAGACACTGGACTTTTCTTACGAACAGTCGATCGCCACCACACAACCCATTACAGAGCATCTTCACGCACACTTAGCAGCCAGCCTGGGTCTGCAGCACGGATGGGAAGAACTAAACCGCACAGCTGCCTGTCAGGCTGGCACAGTGGGGAGCACATTTCACCAGCACCCAGAGCCCTGGCTGCAAAAGGCTGCCTGAGGGGTCCTGGGATGAAGAGGAGCCAGGGCTGGGACCCTGAGAGCACGGGGCAGCAGGGAGTGCTCACACCCAGCGCAGTGCCCGGGGAGCGACATCTCCCCACAGCGGAAGGCAGGAGCCCAAATCCAGCCACAGGCCTGAGTGGGTTGGGTAAAACTTCCCGTCCCGATCCCTGGGCTCTAGGAGTGAGCAGCCCCCAGGCGTCCCTGGGCGCCTAGCAGGCGAGGGGAAATGGCTGGAGCTGAAGCCTGGCTATCACCCAGACCCTACGAGGCTTCCGCACTGTTGTGATGGGAGCCTGCTGTCTGCTGTCGGAGGACCTTGCAGTCTGAAGCCGGGGCACAAGTTAAGGCCACTCTGCAGATGGACCCAAACGCCCCCGGGCACCCGAGGTCCCTAGAGGAGGGGGGCTCAACCGATGCTGGCTGATGAGAACACAGACCCAAGCTGTGCTTTCTTCCTTTTTCTTACGGCCTCTCAAGCACCCACAGCCGCCAGCTGCCCGACACCGTGTGCAAAGCCAACGGCCCTGCCCACGGGGGAGTGCGGAAGTGTGCCTGGCCTGAGGGATGGTGCTGACGGTGCCAACGCCTGGCCCTCTAGCCAGCCCAGAGTGGCGGGCGATGCTCTCTGTGACAGCGCTGCGGTGGGAGGCGATGGCACACTTCTGCCCCCTCCCTGACAGCTGCCGTTTATCTGAGAAAAGTGATCAAGGAGGAGGAGGAGAAAAAGGAGCCCTCACTTCTTTGGGGCCAGCTGTATGCCACAAATGTCGCACACACATCTCAGTGAGTCCTAAAGACCCTGGGGGTGGGGGGGGTCTGTGCTTCAGCTCAGGCAGCTGGTAAGTGGCCATGACTCCCACGCCAAGTTCCTTCCACTTGGCCACCCTGCCTCCTTTCCTTAAAAGACCAGGCGGTAGAGTCTCTTCCTTGTGGCTGGAAACCACCACCCATCTCACAGACAGCTTCAGATCTTCCTCTTTGTGAACTTGGTGGAGGAACCTGGGTGCTCAGCATGAACAGGCCAGGCTGAGGGAGCTGTACTGCTGCCCTGCAGAGAGCACAGGCTCGACGTCCCCCGAGGGGACCCGCAGAGCTGCCGGCGGCATGGAGGGAAGGCTGGTGTGGTGCAGCTGAGCGGTGCCGTACAGAACCCACTTCCCCTGCTGCCTGATGGCAGTCACGGTCCTGGGAGGAAGGAAGGTGGGAGCCAGAGGGAGAATCCCCAGCAAATGACTCAGAAACAAAGTCTCCACCGCCAGCCTCATTTCCAGCCTAGGTGTGGAAGAGCCCAGGCTTGAGACTCTTCGGCATGCGCAGAGCTGCTGGCCCAGCCTCCTGGGGGGACAGGAAGGGGCAGTGCTACCACTGCCAGGCGTTGCCAGCTCCCCTCTTGGGAAATCTCCAGGCAAAGGGGAGACTTTGAGTAGACAGTTCCCCTACCAGCAGTGGCGTCTCCACCGCAACCCACAGACTGTGAGGCACGACCCAATTGTTCTGGATCCAATTGTTCTGACGAGATGGGCTGCGATCACAAGCAGAGCGGCTCCGCAGGGCTTCATGTTTACGGAGGCTGCCCTGTGACCCCATTCAGTCCCCTCTCCTCCGGTCTCCCTTCCACCCACTCCTCATTCACCCAGCGGCCTGCTGGGAGTCCTCCTCCCTTCCCTCCTGCAGGAAGAGCGCCCAGACAGACACCTCCAGACAGACACCTCGCAGCCAGACTCAGCTGCTGCTAGGCATCGAACAATAGCTCCTGGCAGTGCCCCACTGGGCTGGGCACACTCCCCGGCCAGAACCTGGCTCCCCAAGGCCCAAGAAAAGGCACTGCCATCCCAACCACAGGATCGCTGGGAGCAGAGACACAGGCCAAACAAGCACTATTTACACAGGTCTGCTGGCTGGGGCTAAACTAGCAGGAGGCATTCCTGCTTTGGGGGGAGCCAGATTCCCTTTCCTTTAAAGAAACCTTGTGTGACATTTATCATTTCAAGAGCCCTGAAGTTGGGGGCAATGACTGTCAGTAGAGAGGAGGGATGGATGGTCAGGACCTAAGAAGCAGGGCATGGGTCTGCGCCCCAGAAGAAAGCAAGGGGGGGAAGGAACTTTTGAAGCTGCTTTGACAGCCATCAAGCTCTCTTAATACTGCTGGCAAATGGACCTGTCACACGCCAGACTCTCCCAGAGCCAAGAACCCCTGGCTGGTCCTGGAACCAGGGTCTCCTCGGCTTTCAATGGACAATCAGTCATCTGTCACGACCCCCCTCCACTCCAGTACTGTGACTCTCTTCTGTTCATAGCAGAATCAGGCCCCTCATCTCGAGGCTTGTTTTGCTGGCTGACCAGTATGATGGTCAAAACCTGAGTGCATGTTCTTGAGAATGCAAGTTCCCGCATCTCAGAACCACAAACAGATATTGGAAAGGAAGAGAAATTACAAGGCCCAATCATGCTGACCACATTTACCTGCAGAAAGGGGTCCCGGTCCCCCCAGCTCTCTCTCATCTTTGAGGGGTCCTGGGTTCAGAGCTGCCCACTGAAGAGAATGGAGGATAGAAGATTCTGCGCTCTGCGGTGCAGCTCCCTTCCCTACCCCTCCGAATGGGTCACCAGGACTCACAAACCAGGTGCCTGCCAAGAAGCACCAGTTACTGGCCTTCACATTTCTCTTGAGCACTGGGTAAACCAGTTAAACTAGTCTTGCCTTTCCAAAACTGTTTTTTTTTTTTTTTTTAATCTGGCAGGTGGCTACTGGAGGCCTTCCAACCCACGGCTCAGGCCAACCCTCATAATAAGAAAAATACTACTTTCTATCTGTCTCATTTAGGAGGTTTCTACTCCCCCCCCCAACTTGGTGGTTAACTAAATTTCATCTTATATAACCGCTATAAATTTCCTAAAAATTTCCCCAACTGGTGCCAGCAGCTACAGGGAGGGTGTGTGCGCATGTGTGTGTGTGTGCACGTGTGTGTGCATGCGTGTGTGTGCGCGTGCGTGCGTGTGTGTGTGCATGTGCATGTGTGTGCGTGTGTGTGTGTGTGTGTGCAGATGGGAGTGACCAGGAATCCCAGTGAATTTTCACAAGAATATAGCACTTCTTAATCCACTAAGGAAGTCTCAGATTCTCCCCTTTCCAGAAAGATTCTGGGAGTTCTACACCTCACAAATGCTTTAAGTCTCTTCACTTTTTTCTTTTCTGGTAGAAGAGATAAAGCGAAGCTGGGGAGCTCAGGATGATAAGAAATCATTGGTAAAATACGTTACTGGCAAAACCAAAATAAATACCTAGAGGTCCGACCTGGGACTTCGGCCTAAGGCCCCGAAAGGCCTGTGCCTTATCTGAACTAAAACAGGCCCTAGACCAGCCCGGAGACTCACACTCCATATACAAACCCCAAGTGACAAATGCCTTTCTCTTATCCGGAAGGGTTAGGTGTCTTTAGAAAAGACAAAGGCTGAATGTGAGGAATCCAGCTGTGATGGAGGGGCCAGGCCACTGTTTCTGAAGCACTTTCCTCACCTTAAGACACATTCCACTGATGGGACCAGGAACAACATGCCTTTCTTTGCCTCAGGTGGTAAAGGACTGGTTTTTGCAAAAGAGATCGTCCAGTTTAAAGCTTCTAATTTACACTCACACTCACACACTCTCTCTCTCTCTCTCTCTCTCACACACACACACACACCCAAAGAGGTAGCTTTTCAATGAGAGGAAGGAAGAAGTGAGAAGAGACCAAGAACAGCCATGGTTATGCCTCAGACTGGTTGGCCAACCTCTGCTTCCTCTAAGGGGACTCCGACTCTGAGTGTGGCTTCTGCAGGCGACCTGTGCTCGGGCTGGGCTGTCAGGACTGCTCTCCAGGGCTGCCTCTCTTTGGAGGCAAAGAGGAAAGGCAAGGAGGACACCTATGGGGGCACTGGCACGTACGTGCTCACATGGAAGAGGCGCTGCAGGTATCCCGGGCAGTTCTCCGGGAGAGAAGCCCATGCCCTCACCTCCCCCACTGTCCAAGCCGGGCATGTGGGTCCTCCTTACAGAGTGGCCCCAAGAGCGCTCTGCCCTCCACAGCTGCCCTGCAAAGTTCTCCCTCATGACGCCAAGAGCCCAGGCCTGTCGGGTGAGCCCACTCTGAGGCTGCTTTGTGTTCTCATGACAGCAAGGCAGTGTCCACAGAGAACTCTGCCCAGCGCCCCACGGGACAAAAAGCAGCCTTCACGGGGGTGCTGTGCACGTGGGAAATAAGTGAACACGGTTTCTGAGGCCACGGCGGGGGAGGGCTGTCAGCCGCGGGAGAAGACTCAGTCATCTCCCTCCCTGGTCCCAGGCAGAAACAAGGAACGCAGCGGAGCTGAGCATCTTCGACGAGCCTGACGGGGAGCCCAGAGCTTGAGGGACGAGACTCAGAGACTCAGCATCAGTCAGTCCCCAGGGATGCGACAGGCTGTCCCCTGGGGAGAACGGGGGCTCCCTGGACAACCAGGGAGGAGAGGAAAGGAAAGGAGACCTGGGCTCAGAGATGGCAAAGGTCACCAGACCACGTGTATCTGAGACAAAGGGTAACTGGCCAGCCGGCCCATGTCCAGAATCTGTTGGCGGTGCAAGAAAAGAGATCAGAGAATAGCAGGACGTGTCTTCAGGAGAATCAGGTAATCAGATTCGCCAGATTAATTTCGCAGGAACAATCTGGAATTATCTGGCCTACACAGGTGGGTCTGAGGAGGCAGGAGCCCAAGGAAGGTCTGTAAGGAGAGTCGACCTGGGAAACTTTCACGGACAGGATGGGGGTCAGGTGATGCGGGCCCACCTCCTGCCCAGCCCTGGGGCCCTGAGAAATCTCAGTGCTGTTTTCCTAAGCATCGTCGTGACTCTAACCTACAAGGCAGGCCGGGGTTGGGGTCAGGTCGGGCACACCCCTCTCAGATCCAGTGCCCATTCTCGTAGAAGTCACAGTTCTCTGAGGAACGTGGTTTGAAGACCAAACTAAGCACGTAAGGATGGAAAGCCCAAGAGTCACTGGCAGCACAGGGTGCAAGGAACTCAAGAGCAGACAGTCCACTTCAGAAAAGGATGAAAAGAAACCCAGGGATGGCCTTGCATCTCTCGGGGCGGCTGTAACTTCCTGAGCACTGACCATGTGTCAGGCTCCGGACTGAAAGCTTTTATGTGTAATATCTCACTTTATTCTGACAAAAATCCTACGAAGCCTGTACTGAAATCCCCATTTTAGGGACCAGAAAACCAAGGCTCTGCAAACTGAGCACTTGTTCAAGACCGCACAGCCAGTAAGTAAGTGGCCAAGGCAGGCTCTGAACCCAGAACAGTTGAGCTCCAAGCCTCCCCCAAAGTAAACCAGGCAGGTGCTGACCCTCGTTCTGTCCACAGAGGTGCCGTGGCAGGGGCGTTTCACTGAGTCCTCCGTTGTACTCACTGCTCAGCCCCGCGGCCGCCTCCAAGGCAGGAAGCAGCACAGCCTCGGGGCAGCGATGAGGTGGCAGGTCAGCATTCTCAATCCCCAAAGGTGTCCACAAATCACACCTACTCTACTGTGGAGAGTCAGGCTGAAGCACTGTGTGCAAGGCACAGCCCAGACTCCCTTCCCCACAGAGGGCTGGCACTCCTGCTGGGCCCTCTGCTGTCAGCTGTGTGACCAAGGCCTGTCTCCCAACCACAGGGGCAAGGAACTAAGTGGGTGGAAGAAAGGGCAGGGCTAACTGGCCACCCAAGGGACTTCCAGACCCCGTCCCTATGCCTTCCTCCCTGCTCCACTCCTCTTGCCGGAAGGCGGGGTGGACATGCTGCCCAGAGCCACAGAGGCTGCAAAGACCCTTGCTTAGAGCTCCCCCCACACCTCCCGCCCCAGCTAAGCTCTTACCGTTGTAGGAGAGGCGAGGTTTGCTCAGACACATTATAAAGTGCATTTCCATCTCGTCGGAAGCCACAGACTTAGAGCAAATGGGGCACTTGAAACCTGAAAAAGAGGAAATAGAATGAAATGTTTTTTTCCAAACCAAACATATCCATCATAAATGTGGAAACTCTTAGGTGACTCTGGCCATTGTGGGGTCAGAGTCAAAATGGCGAATTACAGTCTAGATACATCCTACCGCCTACTTCTTCATTAAAGGCAGGTAACATGTTGTTTTCTGATTACAGCCTCCAATTCCCATTTTTTCACTGGGGCACACCCTTGTCATGCCCCTTGCTGAAGTTTATCAGAAGTCACTGACAGCTGATTTGAGTTTTATTTTCTTTTAGACCCTTTCCCCTTTCCCAAGGGGGTCCAGTGGGCAACGGGGACAGGGAGGCATCGATCTAATCAAGGCAACCAAATAATCTGTCTTTGAATAATAAGAGTTAAATTTAACATCCTTCCGCCTCCCAGCCCTCAAACCACTTGGCTGGATCACCTGTGGCAGGAATCCCTATAGTCCTGGGCACCTCCGTCCCTCATCCAGAGCATCTTTCCTCCCGTGGCTCGGGCAGCTGTCCTCCGAGAGTGTGCGAGCCACAGGCGGCCCTCCAGAGCGCTCCCAGATGCCACACATGCCTTGGCCATATGCCACCAAGAGTAACAGCTGTTTCACAACGATAGGCGACAGACCCTGCTGTTTTATTCCCGAGGAAGTTTGCTTATACACCCAGGGAGCTTCATCGGAACTGTATCAGTATTGGAGACTTTGGTTGAGAATCTTCTGAGCTGAACTCCATTAAGTAAACCTAGTCCTTTGATCTATTTTTTAATAAATTATTTTTTGACTTATTTTTATAGATAAATACAGATCCACTATTTTCAATTTCCCCCATTTTACTTTTATTAAAATTGCTTTCAGGGCTTCCCTGGTGGGGCAGTGGTTGGGAGTCTGCCTGCTGATGCAGGGGACACGGGTTTGTGCCCCGGTCCGGGAAGATCCCACATGCCGCGGAGCGGCTGGGCCCGTGCGCCATGGCCGCTGAGCCTGCGCGTCCGGAGCCTGTGCTCCGCAACGGGAGAGGCCACAACAGTGAGAGGCCTGCGTACCGCAAAAAAAAAAAATTGCTTTCAAAAGGGGAATTCCCTGGCGGTCCAGTGGTTAGGACTGTGTGCTTTCAATGCCGAGGGCCTGGGTTTGACCCCTGCTCGGGGAACGAAGATCCCACAAGCTGCACGTTGCAGCCAAAAAATAAAAAATAAAATAAAAATTACTTTCAAATGTATTACTTCTTTTCCATTCTACCAAAAAGATTGAAAAGTTATCTATTTACTTGTCCACATTGAATTTTAAACATCACAGCTGCTCCCTTTTGTGACCATAACCCCTACTTTCTCAGTCTGGAATTCCTAGGTCAAATACAGCACACTAAAATATTGTTGTGAAGATCAGACTCTTCTATTAATTTGCAGTCAAAATGTCCCACGCACAGTTTCACTGGATGCTGCTAATACCTATCAGCAATATTTACTATGAGGCGAGGGTTCATGTTGACTGTTAGCTGCTCCAGGAGAAGAGGAGTTCACACCTTCACCAGTGTCCTTCCCGAGGGGAGTCGCTCATTCTGTATGGAAAGCTCTGCACTCTGGCAGCTGGTGGTGCTCAGACAGGAAGCAAGCTGGCTCCCACGTTCCCGTGTAGGGCACAAGCACTTTGCTTGAAGTCTTCTCCAAACCCTCCTCTCTTCAGTGACAATGCTCTGAGCTACAGGACCAGACGGAAAATCCACAGTCCAGTTCACTCCAAGCAATGTGGACCTCAGACTCCGTGGCACCGTTCCCATTCCTCCAACCCCTTTCCTCAAAGAGCTTTAGCATCTAAGTGTCTTGGCTAAAAATTCTTGGAAGTGCTACCATCCCAAGGACTCTGGCCAAGCCTTGAGAAAGGGCTGTATTTTCTGATCTCTGGATGCTTTTGAATCCATTAATGACAAAACCAGAAGACAGAAAAGAAACGTGATGGGGGAGGGTCCATCCCCAGTTTCCTGGCACAGGTGAGTAATGAACTCGAGTCTGGTAGAATGAGGATGCTCTTCACATCTAACCTAAGTCCCTCTGTACCCTTGAATCTACCCTCATGGCTGTGCCCTGCAAATAAACCAATACTTAAATAACATTCCATAGAATGACCAGCCATTGGGAGATTTGTTCACCCTTTTTTCTGACTCAAAAGACCAAGGTTGGGTCTTCCCTGGCGGTCCAGTGGTTAAGACTCCGCGCTTCCAATGCAAGGGGCACGGGTTCGATCCCTGGTCGGGGAACTGAGATCCCAACATGCTGCGTGGTGCGGCCAAAAAAATAAAAATTAAAAATTTATTAAAAAAATGTTTTAAAAAGACCAAGGTTTTGCAACCCTTTTGACTACAGGATGCTTCCACTTTAAGTTAGCACGCTGTCTGCGGGCTGAGGGCTCAGGGCTGCAGGCAGGCCAGGATGGACGTGCTTAGACAGGTCCTCTAACACTATGTCCTGATGCAGCCACTGGGAGGTGGTAAAGTGATTTCTTACTAAAGAAAAGCCCTTCACCTCGTACATTACTCACTTTTCTGATAACTCAGAACACAGTCATTGTTGTTGCTACAATAGCATCATTCAAACCCTCACATCCCAACGTGATTCCTTGAGTACAGGAGAGGGGTCGAGTTACAGCTACGGTGCTGGGAAGAAGGCCACCCCACAAGAAGGTCTAGGAAGGAATGTCACCCGATGTTTATGTCCTAGGAAAAAACAAGTTGAGACTCACAGGTTTAGACCAATCCTCTCACTGTACAGATAAAGAAAGAGACCCCAGTGAGGCCATCAGTCAAACAATTTAGGGGCGGAGCTGAGACCAGAATCAGATTTCTTAGCTCCCAATCTAAAGTCCTTGCCATTAGGGAAGAAAAAGCTGACCGCAGGTGTGATATTGTGATTTATAGTCAGAAGTATACATTTGGTCTTTGTCCGGTTTCTGGCATAGAGCTCCTAAAACCCTTGGAATTCCCTAAGACCAATTATATTTGGTTTTCTGTCATCTCTTCCTGAAATAGCTCCAGAGCCAAAGGTGAAAGGATGAAAAGGAGTGTCTTGTTATTCATAACCAGCCCCTTTCAACCACACCAGAGTTATGTTAATGAGGTGACTTCTGGAAAGCCCTAGTTAACCTAAGGATGGGGGCTGGTTGCCAAGGGAACCAACCCTGTGATTAGAGGACTGGAACTTTCAGCCCCACCCTCGACCTGGAGGTTGGATCAATCACCAATGGCTAATGGTTGAATCAATCATGCCTATGTAATGGAGCCCCCATAAAACTCCTAAAGGACAGGGTCTGGAGAGCTCCCGCGCCGGTGCACACATGGAGATCTGAGGAGAGTGGTGTGCCTGGAGACAGCGTTGGCCCTGTGCCCTTTCCCCACACCTTGCCCTGTGCTTCTCTCCCCTTGGGCTGTTCCTCAGTTACATCCTTTTATAATAAACCATTGATCTGGTAAGTAAAATGTTTCTCTGAGTTCTGGGAGCCACTCTAGCATATTAAACAAATGTGGGGGGGGCATGGGAACCTCCAATCAATAGACAGTTGGGCAGAAGCAGAGGTGACAACCCGGGCTTGTGATTGGCATCTGAAGTGGGGGCAGTCTTGTGGGACTGAGCCCTTGACCTGTGGGATCTGATGCTATCTCCAGGTAGATGCTATCAGAATTAAGCTAATTGCTTGGTGGTGTTGGGAAACACATCTCGGAACAGGGTTTTAAAAAAGAGGTGGGCTGGGAAATATTATGTCTTGCAGGAAGCACCACTATAGTAGGGAGAGACCTATATTCTAATGAAAGCAGGGTCATTACCACTTGCATCACCTAACTCTGCATGTGTGTGTGTATGTGTGTGTGTGCAAGGCTCAAAAAAATAACTCAGGGTCTGTCATGAGTGGGAAAGACCAAGATAACCTGGCTTTTCCAGCCTCAAGACCTTGGCAAATTATCTACTCTCCCTGGACCTCAGTTCTTCATCTGAAAAAGAGACATTTACTTCCCTTTTGAGGATCAAATGAGATGAGAAACCTGAAAGCACACTAAAAAGAAGCTAAACAAATGAACAGTGGTATCATCATCATCAAGCCAGGCAATGCTTGACAAGGAGGAAGGAACAGGCTGGAGAAGGGATTTGGGGGGTGGGCTGAGAGATGGGGGTGACGGACCAGCAGGGCACATTGGCCACAGGTCATGCAAAAGTGTGCTGGGGGTGGCCAGCGGCCATCACTGCTGGTCGCATCTCTTCAGAGCACAGAACTTTGGAGCACTGTGTGTGGCACTTTCTGTATAGCCGACGTGGCACTGAACACACTGAGGTCCCGCCCACTTGTGCACATGATGATAAATAACAGCTTGCATTTACGTTGCTATGGGAAGCCACTGGGCTTTACATGTCTTCTCATTTGCCTGAATATGAGGTAGGTACTAATGTTAACTCTGTTTTGCAGAAGAGGATACCAAGGTAGGTCACTTGCCAAAGGTAACGCAGCCAGAGCGCCAGAGCTGGCACACAACCAGGAAGTCTGACCACCCAGTGTGCACCACGTTCCCTGGGCTGTGGGACAGGCTGACTGGTACAGAAGGAGGAGACACATGGCAAAAAGGATGTGAGGGCTTCTCTGGTGGCGCAGTGGTTAAGGATCCGCCTGACAACGCAGGGGACACGGGTTCAATCCCTGGTCCGGGAAGATCCCACATGCCGTGGAGCAACTAAGCCCGTACACCACAAGGACTGAGCCTGCGCTCTAGAGCCCACGAGCCACAACTACTGAGCCCATGAGCCACAACTACTGAAGCCCACGAGCCTAGAGCTCGTGCTCCGCAACAAGAGAAGTCACCGCAATGAGAAGCCTGCACACCGCAACGAAGAGTAGCCCCCGCTCGTCGCAACTAGAGAAAGCCCGTGCATAGCAACGAAGACCCAACACAAATTTTTATAAATTTATAAAAATTTATTTTTATAAATAAATTACAAAAAAAAAAAGAATGCAA